CTTCTTTCCTTCCTTCCTTTCCTTCCTCCCACTCTCCTTCCTTCCTTCCTTCGTTTCTACCTACCTTCCTTCCTTTTCTTCCTTTCCTCCCATTCTCCTCCCTTCCTTCTTTTTCTTTCTTTCCTCCCACTCTACTTCTTTCCTTCCTTCCCTCCCTCCCCTTCCCTTTTTTCCGCCCTTCCTCCCTCTCTCCCTCCTTCTCATTTGGAAGCAACGTTGGTCATGCTCAGGATACCTAATATGCTTCGGAATGTGCAAACAATAAAGTCACACGTGTCATCTCACTCATATTTCCTTATTGCCTTGAATTTAAGTGTAGGCTTGAGGTTACGAGGTAGACTGACATGTCTAACAAACGCCGCAGTTATAAATTGCTTCGGTGACAGTTGCTAACATAAACTATTACAGGCAGATTTAGAATGTAAAGATTATTCAGGTGACAGCGAGTAGCGAGAGGAATTACTTGAAAATGGTGTACATGCTTGCTTATAATTGCTCATAAAATATTATACAATTCAGGATAATATGCACCCAGAATCCTTAGACTGCTGGAGAGATTTTAAATATAAAACCCAATCCATTATTTAAAAGGTAGTGGAGGTTAATGTGTGTGCCATGCATTCTTTATTGGCAATAGGGAAGGAGCCCTGGGCACAAGTAGATTGTCAACTTCAGAGCAAAGAACTGAGAGCTTTTGTATATGTGCCTTCCAGAATTTAAGTTCTCAGCTTTTTCCTCTTGTCTTCCTGTGTTAATGGACAGCTGCTGCTTTGTTTAGTAGTCTCAAGAGACTGAGATATATTGATACTACAGTTCTCTTAAGTTTGTGGAGTTGTTGGCACTCATCTAATCACCTTTGGCTCCTGTAATCGAAACACACACACACACACACGATACACACCCAACACACACACACACCACCCATCCAGTCCTCCCATTCTCATCCCTAGTTGATCAGTAGCATACTGTAGGAAGAGTGGCAAACCTGCCAGTGGAGTTAAAAGAGGGATCAGTGTAGAATGGCTCTTCACAGGACCTAACTGCAGGGGTGGGATTCCACCAGTTCGCACCTATTTGCCAGAACCAGTTGTTAACATTCTAAGCAGTTCGGAGAACCGGTTGTTAGAAGAAATTACTGGCCTAATCCTGTAAGGAAGGCAGGAAGGAAACATTCTGGTGTTGCCTACAGAAACTGCCTCTCCGTTAACCCTTTTTACATTCTTGGCGGGACTGGACTTCCTGTCTCTGGAACTTCTCTGGAGTTTTTTTTCCTCTCCTTTGCTGGTACTTTGCTTGTGTGGAGTGACCATTCAAAGTTCACATGGCACTGAAAAAAGTGACTTATGACCATTTTTCACCCTTACGACTGTTGCAGCATCCCCACAGTCATGAGAGGCCATTCAAGGAAATGCGTGCCTCGATGTGAGTGATGTTGAGTTGGCCACGTTCAGCCAGTCACATGACCACCAAGCCATGCCCACCAACTAAGCCACACTCACAGAACCAGTTGTTAAAAAAATTGAATCCCACCCCTGAATCCTAAACAGAATCTCCCGATTGTCCTCACTGTCATTCTCTGGACTAGGTCTAGTTTGCTTGAACCCTTTAACGCTACGGTATCTCCTTGACCTCTCCTAGCTTTTCAGTGCCGTTGTGGGAGAACTCCCCTCCTGGAGTATCTGAGAAGGTTGAATTTTTCCAAGGTTTCCATCTCTTTCTGTCAGGCTTTTTTTCCCCAAGAGATTAGATGCGGAACTCAATGTTTGACCCCGAGGCCACAGAACCTGTAGAGACCTAGGGTCTTCCTGGCACTGCCATGTTGTTCCCCTGCCACTATTCAACATCTCCGCAAATGTGTTTGGAACAGCTTTGACCTAGATTTGAGGCCATGTGTGAGTTGTGTAAAACAGAAGCCTGCTTGGTGTTCTTTTGACAAGAGAAAATGACATTGTAGAAAAGAGAGGACATTGTCACTTTGATTAGCTTCTGTTTGATCATTATGATTTTCATCTAAGCGCATTGCGAGGGTTTCTTCTCCCGCCCTCCCCCAAAATGTCATCAGATGTTACATGCTCCCTTATAAATAGTCTTCCGTCAGCTTCTCAGCACACGTTGCTGTTTGTAATTATATCCTCTGGAGTCATCAGAGGTTTAAGCCAGAAAACAAATACAAAAAGCTTCTAACAAGGCAGAAACAATGAGGATTCATAGCTTGCATCGTTCCTCTTTGAGCTGATGCACCCCAATCTGTTAATTATTTCCATCATTAGCTGCTGAGTTTGGCACCAAACAAAGTTACTAATATTTGGTCTTGACTGATGCAAAAGGAAGTTTATTAATATGGAGATCCATTGTC